TGAAACCTGAGCTCTCCTCTCTGGGTGTTGATATCAGTATCAATGAATGATCAAATGATTGATCACTGAAGAGTTTCAGGACTCTGCAGAGTCTCAGTTTGTGTTCCTCAGTCAAGTCTTCAGGCTGTAGAACCATCAGGAACACATGAGGTCCAGGATCAGAGAGTCTCACACACTTTTCTACATGTTCTGACAGTTTGTCTTCAGAGATGTTGAGATGCAGCAGATCTGGAGTGTTGATGAGAACTATTTCTTTGTCCTTTATCTGTCCTCTTTCTGTCAGACAGCAGTCTGGTTCTTCCTCAGTGTTGAACTTAGTCTCTCCCAGTATGACGTTCCCCACTGAACTCCTCTGAGACCAGCTGTTCCCCAGCAGAACAACCCTCAGCTCAGACACTGAAAAGAAAACACTGAATCAGAAAACTTGATTTAGTGCAACAACCAACTATTAAAGGTGGACTTAAGTGATTGTGTCAGCTGTTCTTATCTTGAAACTTTCAAATTTACCATAAGTTTTCAAATATTAAAATAAAACATTTGTATCCAGAATATACTAACAGTGTAATTCTAGATGTTAATATGCAGAACAATAATTCTGACTTCAGGTCAACTCACTGGATGGTGGCAGCCATTCAAAGCTGCGGCTCTGCTTTAAGGGTTGCAGGTCCTCTGACACTATACAGATACAGAACAATGATTCAAAAATGCTTTTAAAAATGTTTTCAACCTTTTAATCTTTAATCAAAGGGACTCTGTCTCGAGAGGGACTTACTGCTGTTTTATCATTTTGATTTATTTTTATGCGTTGTTTTTTTTGTGTGTTCTAGTTGAAAGTAAAGCTTTTTGCCTTTGATTCAGACAAACAGATCAAAATAAACTCAGATTAAAGCAATTTATAGAAAAGACTGAGTGACACCATGGTAAATCTCTGAGAAACATTTGAGTATTAATATACCACAATCCAGAACTACAGTGAACTCACCAGGTGCTGCAGTCGCCATAATGTCACCCTGCTGGAGACATCAGAGACTAATTCAACTGGAAACCAACAGGTTTGAGAACCTAAATAGACAATATAAAATATCTTATGGCTTTGTCTGTTTATACACACACGCACACGCACACACACACACACACACACACACACGCATACACACAAACACATAAACACACACACACACAATGTAATGGATATTTTGAATTTTTCTGTCAACCCTTAGACTCAAACATAAAAGACAAGGGACGTTAGGCTGACTTAGGCCTAGTCTGCCAGGGGACCTCCTATAATACACCGGGCACCTTCTCTCCTTCTCTCTCTCTCTCTCTCTCTCTCTCTCTCTCTCTCGTGTCCTATTACTGCATCTTGCTAACTCGGCCATTCTGGATGTCACTAACTCGGCTTCTTCTCCGGAGCCTTCGTGCTCCACTGTCTCTCAGATTAACTCATATCACAGCGGTGCCTGGACAGCGTGACGTGTGTGGTTGTGCTGCTGCCGTGGTCCTGCCAGATGCCTCCTGCTGCTGCTGCCATCATTAGTCATTAGTCATACTTCTACTGTTATTATACACACATGATTATTGTCACACATGTATACTATCAGATATTAATATATATTTTCAACATATTGTACCACAGTAGCCAGAACTATAACTATAATATTATTACTTTCAATAATGTTGTTGTAAGCTACTGTCATTATCGTCTGTCCTGCATCTCTCTCTCTCTCTCTCTCTCTCTTTTTCTTTCTCATTGTGTCATACGGATTACTGTTAATTAATTATGCTGATCTGTTCTGTACGACATCTATTGCACGTCTGTCCGTCCTGGAAATTTATTTGTATAGCACTTCTCACAGAGAGAACTCACAAAGTGCTTCACAGGATTAAAACACAAACCAAGAATACATACATCCAAACATACAGACACAAAATGAAACAGCAGCAGTTGTTGCAAAACTGAATCACTTAAGACAAATTGATGAATGCCTGCCTATAGAGGTAGGTTTTAAGGTGCTTCTTAAAAACTTCAACAGATGCTGCGGCTCTCAAATTCTGTGGGAGGGCGTTCCACAATCTGGGCGCAATGGACTCGAAGGCCCGGTCACTTCTAGTTCTGAGCCTAGTGCGAGGAACTGCCAACAGACCGTGATCGGCCGACCTAAGTGTCCTACTAGGAGCGTATGCAGCAGGTCAGACAGATACTCAGGTGCCTGACCATGAAGGGCTCTATATGTTAAAACAAGGATTTTGAACTGGATCACAAAGCTGACAGGAATCCAGTGTAGGGAGGCCAGGACAGGAGTAGTGTGGCAGTTTTTGGATGATTTGGTGAACAGCCTGGCAGCGGCATTCTGCACCAGCTGAAGGCGATCTACAAGAGTTTTACTGAGACACATGAAAAGAGAATTGCAGTAATCCAGACGTGATGACACAAAGGCATGAATGATCACTTCCAGTTCAGCATGTGATACAACAGATCTCAGTTTTGCAATGTTTTTAAGGTGGAAAAAGCATGTACGGGTCAACGCATGGATGTGTTTAACAAAGTGTATGGCCTGGTCAGCAATAACCCCAAGATTTCTCAGGTTGGAGCAGATATTTGAATTCGGGGATCCAATACAGCTCGCCACCTTAGAAGCAGTACAGTCAGGAGTGACAATAAGGACTTCGGTCTTAGCGGCGTTAAGCTGGAGGAAATTGTTGACCATTCAGTCATTAATTGCAGACAGACAGTCATGCAGTACATTCAGATTGTCTGTCCTGTCAGGATTAAAAGAAAAATAAAGCTGAATATCATCTGCGTACATATGATATGATACACCTTCAAACCTGCTGATAATGTTTCCAAGAGGAAGCATATACACAGCAAATAAAACTGGACCCAACACTGAGCCCTGAGGCACCCCACAAGAAGCTACCGACGCCCCCTGTAGCTACTTTCTGAGTATACAGTATGTATCACCCCCCCCCCCAGCCCATGTATAAAAGGTACATTTTAGTGTGCTTTGGAAAAAACAAAAAAACAAATTCAATTCAATTCTGCAGAGCAGTGTGTAAAAATACTCCTGGGATTCATGACCTTTTTCATAGCACTGTATATGAAATAATAAATATATATTTGGGTACAATCAAAAAGTCTAAAGCTGAGTTTGCCTCAAAAAGCAAATGTTAACAATCTTTCCTGAATAAAAATGTGTCTTAAGGTAACTTGTCGTCCTGTTCATAGCAGCAGTCATCGTGGTGTTAGTGGTAAAAAGTTAATGTGTTATCAATGGTGGTAAAACTTTGTGTTTTTATAGCTGTTGTAATGTTTAACAAAGGATAATTTGATTTCCTAACATTCAGTCTGAATTACTTCAGACTCCTCAGAGTTTTATTGCTGCATCCACAGAATAATAAAAAGCATCAGTATCAGTGAACATTAGACACTGTGGCAAACTAGAGCTGTCCAAAATGCTTCGAAACTTTAATCATTACCATGGTAATTAACAACCAAATCAAAATTTAAACGCTCCATATACACTACTCTAAAAAATTAAGGGAACACTGAATGGTCACAGTATATCACCAAGTCAGTTGAGCTTCATGACTGGTTTGGTGGTAGGTCAATGAAGTCACTGAAGTCTTGTTACAAAACAATGTTCTGCTGGGAAACCTTAAGTCATGGCAATAATGTGGATGCCCAGTGACACACTCCAAACACCACCCAAATTCCAATCTAGTTGAACATTTGTGGGTACCCCACCACAAACCCACAGGACTCAAAGGATCCACCACCAACACCCTGGTGCCAGACACCACAGTGCCCCTCAGAGGTCCTGTGTCTATGCCTCAAAAGGTCAAGGCCAAATCTGATCCAAAGAGGTCCCAACATGGATCAGGGGTACCTCTAGGCTTTCGGCATGTCCCACAGACACTCAATCAGATTGTAATCTGGGGAATTTTTGAGACCAGGTGGATGCCTTGAGCTCCATCTGGAAGTCTGCAACAGTCTTTCTGTGGGTGGAGTGTATCAAGTGGCATCCACATGACTGCTAGAACCAAGGTTTCCCAGCTGAAAAAGGCATTGTAACAACCCTAATGTTCTTTACTTCACCTGCAGGAGCTTTAATGTTTTGGCTGATCGGTGTATGCATTACCCCAAATATCCCAAATAGCCCACATATTCATCACGCATCAACGCTGATTATTATGAGTTCTTCTCAGACTAGAACATTTTCTGACTCTGACTTGCTGTGATCTAACATCAGTCACCAGCAGTCCAGCACTACTAAAACTGGGACTGTTTGGCAGGCTTAAAGATACGCTAGCAAAATGTTAAAAAAGTCAAGCATCTGGAATAGTTTCAAAATTGACTTGGACAACCCCCAAATAAGTCAAGTACCAGATGTGTCAAAGGAGGCTGGTATGTCACAATGAGCCTGTCAAACCACCTCAAAACTGCATGTATCAGCTCAGCTGTCTTGCAAAGGATTGTTTCTTCCAGCTGTTATGATAACTTTACTGCGTCATGCATGCTAACAACATGGCCAGCTGTCACGTTTTATTAGGTGAATCCACCAAAAACAAATGTTTCAAAGGGTTTGACTTATGTCCTCGTCTTTCATTAACTCTGTACCCCCGTCGAAGCTTCGATTAATTACAGATATTCTAGCTGAAGTTTTGGTGTCCCAGAACTGGTATTCAGGATTAATTTCATGTCACCACTTACCTGAGGTGGTTGTTGGTGTTAGCTCTGGTCATCGGCCTCCCATCACAAATTTTTCAAAGTATATTGCAAGAAAGAAAAGCCTGTTTTTCCAGCTCAGTCATGTGGTAACTTTAGTAACTCCAAACAGTGATGACTCTGCTCCAGCTAATCACAGTCCTGAATAGTCAGCATACATGTGAAGACTAGGGACAATCACTTCTTCCCTCATCAATCCAAGAACGTTGTCAGTCTTAAACACCTTTGTTTGAATTTATATTTCAGCTGTGTCTGCTCACCGGGTCAGATCCTTATTGCTGCCAGGTACTTCCTGGCATGAAACTCACAAGGGACGACCTTTCTCAGACTGGGCAGGACACTGCACACACATGATATCAATTCAATAGCTATGTTAATGTTTAACAATCTTGAGTTTTACACCAGGAACAGGGAAACCTGATACAAACACTGCTCAGTACTTTATATCTTCACTTAACACACACAGTATTCCTTCACCCTCATGTTGCAAATATCTATCACAGAGCATGGACCTATAATGTCTGCTGGAGGAATTCAATTCTTTAATGAATGGATGTGATAATGAATTAGTTAAAACTAGTCCATAGCCATTGGTAGCTTTGTCATCTTCTACCTATGCCAATCCTCAATGCCTATGTGCAGTTTCACATAGATTGACCACGTCAGTGAGTAGAAAAATGTGGGACAGACAGAATGACTGACTGACAGAATGACACACTGACAGTTTCCGTGATTATGTACAGCATACCATACCATGACTTAGTCATACCAAA